AGCAACAACACGAAAAATTCCAAAGAATTCCGAGACTATCCGAGTTTTGCAGTCTCGAGGGGCAATTTGAATGAGCAAAAGAGGAGTCTGTTTCGACGTCAATCTATCGTGGACCCGGTACACATTGGTCCAGTCGAAACGTTGCTGGCACAAACGCGCAATCTAGGCCGCCGTGACTGTTGCCTCTGCCCACGAACATTCTGTATGGACTCTGGCAGCGGCATGTTACATACCATGTTCGATATTGGTGTTAGTCTTGGCAGGTTGATGGCGAATCACCTGATTATGACCATCCCGATGGACGGTGGACAAGTCATCTGGTACGACTTGGACGGCAACCTGGTCAAGTCGATCCCACTTGCCGCTGCCCATTTTATAATTTTGAGGAGCCTCGTCCATTATGAGGGTGCCCCGAGTTCTGTGGTTTATACGGTCCTGTCGAAACGGTTTCTCAGCAAAAATATTCGGATGGACAAGCCGGACAAACCAGCACTTAAAGATAGACCACAAAAACAGCGAAATGTGAGCGATAAAGAAGAGAAAAAGACGGATTATGCTTCAGTAGTGTTGGAAGATGAAGCAGACCATGAGTCTGACCATGAGTCTGACCAAGAGCCGGAGGACAAGGGTCTTCTTCTGTTGGAGGTCGACTTCTTCTCGGGCCGAATGACTGAGCTGATGGAGTTGGATCGCAATTGGTCAGAGAGATTTTTTCCCGGAAATTTGGAGTTGTCCATGAAGGACTGGCTGGTAGGAAAACGTGGCAACCTTCTTTCGATCGCGTATATTCCCACTCGCGAGTTGATTGTCGACAACGCGAATCTGGTCAACGAGAGCTTTTATTTCTCCAGTCTGCGTCGGACAATGACGTTCACGCTGGACATTGGTGCCTTTTTGCTCGATGTCGATAACTTCCGTCTGGCCCATTTGACCGAGGCCTTTCCTCAGAAGATGGTGGTCTACAATACAACGAGGCTAGCAGATGGTCGAGTGGTTTGTCTGGCGAGGCCGGAAGATGACTCAAAGAAGGCACTTTACTTTTTTGGGCAAAAGTCGAATGAATCCAGTGAACCGAGTGAAGCAATCAAGTCGGATGGAGACGAGATGGAGAGACGAGAGGCCACTTATGACCCTCTACGGCGCGCCAGTCGGGCCAAGTTGCGCCTGACGAGGATACACTTTGAGCTGGTGAAGGAAATCGACATCAGCAATGATCTTCCGAATAGACTGCAAGCGATTACATCCCGACCAAGTTATACAGACAACTTTGTCGTTTTCCTGTTCCATGGCTCTCGAAGGTTGGCCAACCAATTAGGGCTGATACTCAATGCTAACCGGGATAGGCTTGTTCGGTTGCAGTTACCCTTTGATGTGACTTCAGAAGGACTAACTCCAGAACAAAAGCAAATGCACACACGAGTTTTAAGGTGAGGGGTGAATGATGTTTGTGTTTTTTGCGTGTGTGCGTGTGTGTATGAGAGCATTGATGGTTGCAAATGCTTGACTTTATGCTGAAAAACTATGTTTGGGTTGTCGTTTGTCAAAAAGCCGACTCACGAAACCTTGGAAACGGGTTGCTTATATCGACCTGCTATACTATTATCTCATAATCGCCATAAAAAGACTATACATTTAAATACTTATTCATTGTTACCAGTCACCCCGGATAAGAAAAACTATAAAAACTTGTGTCAAGCCATGTCGCTTAGAGTGATTTAAAGACTGATACTACTTTTGCAATAATAAGTGATAGCCGGTCATTATTC